AGGTTGCCCCACCTGATGCCACCCTGGCGATTTATGTAGGCCACCACTGACATGTTGTCCGTACGGACCAGGACATGGTGACCCCTGAGGTTTAACAGAAATGCTTTCAGGGCCAAACCAACTGCTTTCATTTCCAGACAGTTGATATGTAAGCTCTGCTCCGTGCTCGACCAGAGGCCGGAGGCAGGCCTGCCCTCGTGCAGCGCTCCCCAACCCAGGTTGGATGCGTCTGTAAAAACCACCTTCCTCCTGGAAACTACCCCCATGGTCACCCCCTCGCGGTACCAGTCCTGAGCCCGCCAGGGAATCAGTGTTCTTAAACACCCGTGATTCACCATAATGCGCAGGCTGCCTGACTGCCATGCATGGGTTGGCACACGGCGTTTCAGCCAGTGCTGCAGCGGGCGCATGCGCAGTAATCCCATGTGGAGTACTGATGATGCGGCTGCCATTAGACCAAGCAGTTTCTGAAACCTCTTCAGAGGCGCGCGCTCGCGCGCCCTGAATGCGGCTGCCAGTGTCTGCACAGATAGCGCGCGCTCTTGAGTGAGCCGCGCTTTCATTGTCACCGAGTCCAAAACCGTGCCCAGAAAGACCACAGTCTGGCTGGGGTTCAGTTCGCTTTTGGCAACATTGATTGTGAGACCCAGGCATTTTAAATGGCCGAGAATCAAATCCCTGTGAATTATTAGTTCGTCTCTCGACTGCGCTAGCACCAGCCAGTCGTCGAGATAATTCAGCACACGCACTCCCTGGCTTTTTAGCGGGGAGAGCGCTGCATCCATACATTTCGTGAATGTACGGGGTGCCAGACACAGACCGAACAGCAGAACGGTGTATTGATATGCCCTCCCCTCGAAGGCGAATCTCAAGAATGGCCTGTGACGAGGGTCGATCTGAATATGAAAGTATGCATCTTTCAGATCCATTGAAACAAACCAATCCCCCGGGCGAACTTGCGCGAGAATTTGTTTGAGTGTTAACATTCTGAAAGGCCGTCTCATGAGAGCCCTGTTCAAACGTCTCAGATCTAGTATGGGTCTGAGCCCGCCGTCTTTCTTTGGAATTAGAAATAGGAATTGGAATTAGTAGCGCTTCGCGGGCCTTGGCTGGCGTTGGCTATCAGCCGCAGGGCGGGGCTGAGAGGCCTGTTTCACCGGCTTGGCTGGATGAGGCGAAGGCGGCGGCTTGGGCTTGCTGGTCGCGGAGCTCGAACGTTTCGGCAAGAAGTGTCGCATGGCCTGGGACGCTTTCTGTGCCTCTGTGTACCTCTCCGAGAATCCTTTCACCGCCGGGCCGAAGAGCCCGGAGCTGGAAACCGGGGCGTCGAGAAACCTCGTTCTGTCGGCGTCCTTAATCTCGGTGAGGTTAAGCCAAAGATGGCGCTCGAGCACGACCAAGCTCGCCATGTTTCTTCCGATGGCCTGTGCTGTAGCCTTAGTAGCACGCAGCGCTAAGTCTGTAGCACTCCTCAGGTCTCGAAAGGTCTCCGGGTCCGGGCCAGTCTCGTCCATGGACCGGAGGAGTTTGGCCTGGTAGACCTGCAACACGGCCATCGCGCGCCGATGCAGCCTGACCGGAGGCGGAGTACGCGCGTCCAGCGAGGGCTGAGGTGTTTCGGCAGGGTTTGTTGGGATGAGCGGCTCTAGCTCGCCAGCTAGCTGCAGTGCTCGGGCAAAGATGAGCTGCCACGGCCTCTTCGAGGGGCGGCAAAGACTCATAACCCTTTTCCGCTGCGCCATCCACGGAGGAGAGCGTCGCGGAAACTGCAGATCCCACACGTGCTGAGTATGGAGCGCGCCAGGCCTTGGTTAGCTCCTCGTGGACCTCGGGGAAAAATGGCGCCGGTTTGTGACGCGGGGCCTGCTGGCGCCCCTCCAGAAACCATCCATCAACTACGAGGCGGCTCCTCGGGCGAGGCCCACTCTAGCTCGAGGTCCGCGACGGCCTTCGTCAGGATCCGAAGCATTTCGGCGTCGGAGTTTGTCCTGGTCGCTAATCCACTGGCCACAGATTGAGAAGCGGAGACGGGGTCGAGAGAGCCCGGCCATTCGTCCTCAGAAGCGGCGATGGATATGCTGTCGTCGCGCTCGAGAGATCAGCCAAAGGAGACAAGGCCCGCCACGTGTGGGGGGGGGGCGCTGGTCTCCTGTGAACAGGACCGGTGATGGCGTTTGAGTCGGAGAAAGTGAAGCACGCGGGGACGCGGCCGGCGTGCGTTCACCAATCTCCATACCCTCCGGTTGCCGTTGGCTGCGACGCTTCTTCTTCCTCGGAATGGGAAGCGTGGTTGAAGCGGCATCGCCGTCTCGAGAGAGAGCTAGCCGATTGCGCAGCACGGAGATAGGCATGCAGTCGCAGGCCGCACATCCGCCGACAGAGAGTGCATTCTCCGCGTGGTCGACACCCAAGCAGGAAACGCAGCTCTCGTGTTGGTCTGCCTCGTGCAGACGGCCTCCGCACGTGGCGCAGGATGAACGAGGCATTCTGAAACAAACACAATAATAGAAAGGATATAGGATGTCGCCGGATAGCCACAGGTGAGACGGCGTCAGGAGACGACGGCTTGCAGGCGAAGTCTGCTGAAGAGAAGCTCGCTCAGGCTGAAAGGCTTGTTCGACGGCGAATTCACAGTAAAAGGCTCAGGGACATGTATACTGTCGCTGAAGGAGTAAAATCTGCTATAATGGCGAATTCGGGGGTCTTTTATAGGCTAAGCCACACCCCCTTGACGGGCTCTGACGTTGAGCTAGCTCATTGGCTGCAGGTCAGAGTCGCCCGCGCCATTGGTTGTGCAGTTGCGGCAGCACAGCCTATGAGCGTGCCAGACGCTCAGTGTGCTGGCTGTGCAGCTGCAAATGCGTTTTACATATAGGTTTCAGTAAATCGAGGAAAAGGAGTTTCCCCACTGCGTATAGCTACGCAATACGAAGTGACCGTTCGAAAGGGAACAACACGTCTGCCAATGGTGCTGGACTTTCTGATTTTGTGGGAAGTAGTTTCTTCATCTAAAAAAGCAACAAAACTGCTCATTAATTGTGAACACTGTCTTAAGATGCTGTAAATGAAAATCAAGGTATATGTTGTTTATGCTGTTGTTTAGCACATTTTGAAACATCTTTATCCCCTGATACGTTACCAGATTAGGGTAAGAAAACAGGTTAATTCACAATATTGACAATCTATGTATTTTGAGTTTAAAAATTGAACAAATGTTAATATTCACACGTTAAACTGATATTATCATTGTCAGTTGACAACAACTTTGCATTTTTAACTAGATGTTTTCTTGTAGGTTTTCACACAGTTGAAAAAGGAAAAATCTATCCAAAGTATTTAGGATTACTTGAAAACGATATGTTGTGTCATACATTCTATGTTTCATTAGGAATGGAGCAAAAAGTTGCCCACCCCTGAGGTTGAAGATGAGACATTTCAGCAGTGTAAATGCCTCAATTTCAGGACACTTAGACATGTTTTGCATATTTTTTTTATTTTTTTTTGCATCAAATATATCACAGAAATATTGATGACTTTGTTTTCTACCTTAATAGGGCAACCTATGCTGGGAGATACAACTCATAAATTCAAAATATATCAAATATATCAAAAATTCCATTGGATATGTTTCCAGATAATATAAAAAGTAACATGATAAATTATTTTTTGCTTATAATTTTCCATTCCTGCCTGTTTAAGGGTTAATTGTTAGTTGAATCAATCTCTATGGATCCCCCTTAAGGGACATGGTAAATAAATAAAAATAAAGATGGGAGGAAAAAAAATGTTGGCAATGCTTTTGCCTTCTCTCGCAAATGTTTGTGTTCCCCCGAGAAACTTTGCGTTCAGTCACAAAGAACATAAAGTTTTGTGAGTGAACGCCAAGTTTCTCGGGGGAACGCACAACATTTCCGAGAGAACGCAAAAGCATCGACTTATTATTTATTATTTATTTATTTATTTCCGCCACCATGTCCCCTTAGGGGACATAGTCAACATAGTAAGAGGAAGAGTTTTTTTCGATAACACTTCACAATAAGGTTTCAATTGTTAACATTAGTTAACCTGGACTAACAGTGAAAAACACACATCTGTTAATATTATTTAATGAACCTGAGCTGACATGAACTAACAACGAAGTTGTTGTTTTTTTGTGAACTAAACATTAACAAAGATTAATCAGAATGCAACAAATGTATTGCTCATTGTTAGTTCATGTCAGATAATACATTACAGTAGCTAACGTTCACTAATGGGACCTTATTGTAAAGTGTTGCCATTTGTTCTTACTGTTCTACTGTTCTCTTTTATTTATCCGCTATTATTGTGCACCCTGCGGGAAAGCATTTTCTGATGTATATTTATCAGGTTAAATGCTGCGATGGTGTCACCTCTTTGCTTGAAGGCTGCCGCTGTTGTACATCAGTTACCCTACTAATGAGCAGCTACACAAGACAAGCCTCATCTTAGATTTATGATGAGAATCTTAAGTATTCCTATGCCACACAACCCCTGCAGTTTACTAATGTTTATTTACCAGTGGGAGCCTGTTAGATTCAGATAGCAACAGATGTGTTGTGCTTGTCAATGCGTTGTTTCTTTTTCTGAACTCTAGACAGACAGCAAAACGCTGACCTTTCTGCAATATTCTGTTGTTTTCTCTTCCATCTGGGTGCCCATGAAGGATTTTTGATAGTCAGACCAGAATGATGTTGTTGACGCAAAGTTCAGTCTGATATTTTACAGAATCGTTACCCAAGAGCAATATGTACTCTGAACAAGAAATCTTTATTGAGCAATAGATTATATATATTTGTTTACATGCTTCACAGCTATTGGATTATAGTATTTCTGTGCATGTAAAGACAGTCAGTGGTGTATATTATATGACTTTTGGAAGCTGAGTGTTTGTTCCATATTTCTCTAAATATCCCCACTCTATAGTTTTGTACGTTACTCTTTTGTCTTTGTCACTTTGTCCTGTTGACCCTCTCTTGCAGTCCAGCCCCACATTACTAAGCTGAGGAATGTGACGGCTGTTGAAGGCAGCGCTGCTATGATCTCCTGCAAGGCTGAGGGTGAACCTCTGCCTGAAATCTCCTGGAGGAGAGCAAGTGATGGACACAGCTTTTCGGATGGAGATAAGGTACAATATGATTCTTTAAGATAAAATTTTTTTGATAGATGGCTCTTATGTTCACTACGGCTGCATTTATTTGAAAATATTATGAGATTTAAAATAACCGTTTCCTATTTTAATATATTTAAAAAAGAAAATGTTGTTCCTGTGATGGTAAAGCTGAATTTTCAGCATCATTACTCCAATTTTCAGTGTCACATGATCCTTCAGAAATCATTCTAATATGTCTATTTAGTACTCAAGAAACAGTTTTTATTATTATTAATGTATTTAAGCAGTTATACTGCTGTTAACATGCTCTTTTCACAAAGAGCTGTAAAAAAAATCTTCTGTAACACTGTTATTTGTCACTTTTGATCAGTTTAAAAAAAACTTCAATGGTAGCATGTCTTAATGTGACGAATTCATGTGATGTGGTCATTAGATTGGGACAACGTTTTGCTCTCATGTACATTTCTTATAGAAAACATACTAATAAACTATTCAAAACCATAGATTTTTAAATAGAATTCATAGTTCTTGTTAGACTTAATCTAAATTATTCATTGTTGCAATAATGGCAGATGTTAAGTCATAGCAACTTAGCATTTTAAGTTCAGTGATTTTTTTTTTTTAAATAATTAATTAGAAGAACCCAACACAAAAAAAAAAGCCATGCAAACTGTTGCAATTTTTTGAGTGCTGTGAACATTTACTGTAATATAACCAAACTATTTCCAAGAACACATATAGCCTATGTGTTTGGTTTCCAACCACCTTTTCCTCTGTCACTAAACAGTAGCATTTTGCCAGCACATTAACTGCCAGATATGTAAGACATTCAGTCTTTGCTCACGCCCACTGTAATAGTCATGGACATTAGAGGATATAATAGACTAGCACGGAGAGACACAGCCCTGAGGCACGCTCAGTCTGTGTACCGGTTGAAGGCTGAAGAAGGCTTTCTGTGCTCCAATAATGCTCTGCAGTTCCTACCGGCATGCTCCGTGTCTGCGTTGAATACGAATGCGCCCTGCAGAATGGCAAATGCGATTGCAGTGGCCAGCCGGGAAAGATGATGGGAACAGAAACTGTCAAAGATCATTAGAATTCTGTGAAAGGTGGGTTGTTGGCGTCAACAATAGAGGCAAACGGAGCCTGACTCCAGGGAGGAACTGTGAAAAGACTCCCCATCACAGTTAATCTAGCGAGAGCTGCTCAGGTAGCGATTAGAATAGCCTGCGTGGCTGGGAAATGAAAGAGGATTCATACAAAGAGGTGTAGGTGAGCAGCGACGCTTGCCGCCACTCAATATGAACAAAATGAGTTTGATTTAAGCTGCTCTTTCAGAGGTGGAGGGATGTTGAGGTTAGGTAGGGGAGTTAGTCTGGTACAATTACACAGGGGCCGGGACAGAACCTGTGCTCTGAATTCAGAAGTTGCAAACAATTGATCTGGGAGCCTCTTCCCTCCCCTCCGTTTTACTCTCAATGGTTAAAGTAAGAGTTCAAAATGGACACCAATTCACTGCTTGGAACGAGTTGAATGGTGAAACTATGCGGTGAGAGATTTGACATTTGGAGCTTTAGCACAGCCCATCGGGGCCAATTAACAGCTTAGAATGATATGTCTCACTTTAGAGGTGTCTGAATGCAGAAAAGCCAAATGAAACACTGTACATTTAAAACAATACAGCTAAATCCAGTTTAACATGGATTTATATGGCTTCTTGCTGGTCCAAGGTAATTTATGGTCTGGTCCAAGACGTTCTGAGCTGGTTTACGTTAGTTAGCATGTCTGCATTGAATATGAATGTGTCCAGGAAAGATGATGGGAAAAGAAACTGTCAAAGATCATTCGAATTCTGTGAAGGTACAGTAGGGTTGGGGAGTTATTGTGTAGGGGACATATATATATATATATATATATATATATATATATATATATATATATATATACATACATGTATATATATATATATATATATGAAAGTCTTTTTTAAGTTGACCATTTCTTTCCTTTTTTTTGGAACATGGAACCAGTGACAACAAAACAAGGCCCATCAGCTGATTACTGTATATATACAGTATGTCACCATACACCATATGTCCTGGTGGTGCTTAAGGAAAATTCATCCTTAATCATCTGATGGGCATTGTTTTGTTGTCACTGGTTCCATGTTCCAAAAAAAGAAAATCAATTGTCAATTTAAAAAAGACTTTCTTTCTTATGTGCAGCACAAAAGGTAACTTTCTTAAGAACACCCTTCACACTTTTCATATAATAAAAGTGAATGGGGAGAGAGTTTGTCAAATGACAATAAAAGGACCATAAAGTAGTCCAAATGATTGGTACACCATACTTAAAGTCTTCTGAAGCCATTTGATAGATTAGTGTGACGAATAGACTTAGTTTTAATTTATTCACTAAAAAATCTTGACATCCAGCCTATTTCTCCATTGTGTGTTCATGATGTATTATGGTGAGTTTATGAGAAAAGTAGAAAGTTCATGAATGAATCATTATTTTGAATCAGATCCTTTCAATGAATTGGTTGTTCTCATAAATCTGAATGATTTGTTCCCAGATCAAACTGATCCAATCCTTGAGCTCAGCCCACTGCCTCATTGATCTGGTGTCAGCGAATACTGATACAAAACTATTGTATAGCTTCAAAAGACTTGAAATACAGTGCACAAACCACGTGGGCTGCTTTTATGATGCTTTTTCTATCTTTTTTTTTAACTTTCATTTCAATTAGCCTTTCATTGTAATTGCATAGAAAGTCAGTCTTCAGAATTTCTTTGTGTTCCACAGAAGAAAGAAAGCCAGACGGTGTTGGAAGAACGACATGAGGGGTAGTGAACGATGACAATTTTTTTTTTCAGAAAACACAGGACGAGAAGTAATACATCCTTTAACCCTCTGGGGACCAAGGGGTTTTTGGGGCCCTTGGGATGTTTTGACATGCACTGACATTTGTGCTTTTTTCAGTTATTTATAAACATGTTAATGGCAAAGGTGTAAATTCACTCTATATAGCACAAACGGGGCTACCATTATCTGTGAGCAACATGTATGTACATGTTTGTATTTTTGAGAGAATATTATTTATGCATGGTTATTGAAAAACTTACAAATAAAAGTTTCTGAAATAAGGCCACAAAACACATATTGATTATTTCTTCACAAGACTTTTGAAAATTGTATCACATAGTCTAGAATATTTGCTCCAAAACTATGTGAGAATCATCCTGACTACTCATTCAGATAAGTCAATAAAGTCTTTTAGAATGTGTATGACGTGTTTAGTGTGAGAAAGCTTTATGCTAGGAGGCGTGATCTCTCATTAATATGTATGGCATTTCACACCTGAGAAAGACAAAGACCCTCCCATAATGGCCCTATTAGGTGTGCTATCAGGCCCTATCATTACGAGGAGCCTTGCACAAAGAATGAGGAGATTTAAAAAAGAATGGCTTTTAGATTGTTTGGATTTATTCACAACACAACATAATCCAAAAATACACAACAAAGGACAAAAAAGCACATTAGTAAACACACTGATCTAAAGACAGGGGCTTGCACAGTCACACAGCATGGTCCCATTCCTGAAACATACCTGTCATTTCCAAGGTGTTTGATTTTTCATTACAGTCTCCTGTGAATGTTGAAGTCAGCAGGACTCATGGCATTTTGTCCCTGTAAAAAAATAAAAATAAACACCTGTGAACATGCTGATATCAAGAGAAACTATATGGCTGCACAACTTTGGGCATGCATTGTAGATTTTTCTGGTTAAAATAGCTTTTTAATTATATATATATATATATATATATATATATATATATATATATATTAGGGGTGTAACGGTTCACAAAATTCACGGTTCGGTTCGATACGATACACTTGTGTCACGGTTCGGTTCGGTACGATTCGGTACGTTTCCGATACAGCAAAAAGAAAGAAATGCCAGAGAAATTTCCTTGATTTAATCTTTTTAATTATATTTTTATTAAAACTAACATCATAAAGTATGATATTTTTTAACTTTGAGCAATGATGGAGCTATACTTGACTTTTCTTAGGAGCTTATAAAACAAAACAGCTCCTTGGACAAAATTAAATGTAATATTGTAGTAGTTATAAACAAAGGTTTATTTTAGTTCAGATTAACATTTGAGGGCAGCAATTGTATTCATAATGTCAAAATAAAACCGACGTGATGTTACTTGAAAGCATTATAGCCTACTATTCCTGCCAAACTTCCATGGTTACAGTTAGTAGTGTTACTACAGTAAACCCATGGTGAATGTTGCTGATCTGTGGACACTGGATAGTTCATTCATGGCACAATGTTTCTTCCTGGTTTCCACGTCAGCGCTGTTTGATCCGTTAATAACGGAGAAATGCGAACGTTTCTCACTAGATCTCGCAGCGATGTTATTACTTCAGTGGCGAATTCAAATGCTTTCTTTACTGGATTTGGCTGTGTAGTAACAGTGCTGATGATTAAGATCGGCTCGCGCTGTATTTGTCCAAACTGATAAACGGTCCTTCAACCACACAATAACGAGTGGTTTCGTTCCGCTTACATTACATTTGCCATTTGATGTTGGGCAATGTTGTGGTCACGCACATTATGAGCGCGCTTGCCACGCGTGACGCGCCTTCATTTGAAATAACGAAATTTTGGTCGGCAGGAAAAATGGTCCAACGAACCGTTCGGTTCAAAAATGCGTACCGAAAACCGAACCGAAAGCCTCGTACCGAACGGTTCAATACGAATACGTGTATCGTTACACCCCTAATATATATATATATATATATATATATATACACACACACACACACACACACACACACACACACACACACACACACACACACACACACTGCTTAGAATTAGAAGTGAACACACCCATGCTAAAGTTGACTAAAAAGAGGAATAAAAAAAATCTTAATGCCTTTAATTAAAAAAATGAGGTAAACTCCAATCTTCAGGGACATGAATAATGTCCCTGAAT